CCCCCCTCTTTTTACATAGCATGTGATCTATCACAGATAGAAATTTAATGGCGAACCAAAATCGCATAAGTAAACATCCTGGTGCTTACAAGTTTCATAAAAAGTGTTACATTTGATGTAAATATCTTACATTTTTAACTCTTAACACTCACAATTATGGAGTAAAAGCAACTGGCGATTCACCCCCTTAGTCCGTGCTCTCAGACTGTACATCAGCAACCATGCTCTTGCCAGCCCCTTTGATCATTTTCGGTCGGATTGTCCCACACATGACCAAGACTTCCCCTTCCTCCCACTGGTGTTAATCAAGCGCAGCTCCGCACAGGGGTAAAACCTGTGCAAGTGAGAAGAGAACCAGGTCTCCTGCGCGCAAGCTTGCAGTCCCCTGGGCCCCACGTTCCCACAGAAGCTACGGCGCGTATAGGGGGCACGTCCTGCATCAGTGGAAATTTGGGGTCCCTCGGGGCTGCAAGCCTGGGCCCTGCCATTGCAAGTGCCTCGCGGGGGGACCTGGTTCTGCGTGGATAAAGACAAGAGTTCTGTAGAAGGCACTGGATTTCTCTTGCATGATTTTAAACATGGACTACAGTCATGTGCAGAATAAGGAGATTTGGGCTCGAGACTGCTTTCTCTCTAGTGCTTTAGTGCAAGCATTTCTAGCGCTTGAATTTTCTCCTGGTTGCAGCGCAGCATGCGCTCATCTACCTAGGGTGATTTCCAAACCTCCTTCCTTCTGCTCTCCTCTCCCATCTTCCTGTCCCCCAAAAGATTCCCTTTTTGTTTCTTGAAAACTTTCAGAATACAGCTCTGGTCAAAAATAAACATGTGATGTAGCATAGCATTTGTTTCTTTTAAATCACAGTGTGCAATGCATCATTCGGTACCTAACGTTCAAAATGTCTGCCCTGCTTTTCATGAAAATCATTCTTTAAAATAACTATGCAAATATATTTTGACTATATATTACATTCATTTAAAAAGAGAAGAGAGGTTCTTGGTTTGCAGTTTTTTTCAGTGTACTACTTAAGTGAAAGGTCTGATGTGAAAAAAGTACAAGCAAACTGGACATGCCAAGACTCGATGCCTTAGATGGTGATCATATCAAAACTGTACAGGTATGTATACCGTGTTGGACAGGTGTGCTTCTTCTTGGGAAAAGACCTTTGCATCATCATATGTAAGGTTAACCACAGAGTTTTGGTAAAAAGAGCATTTAATGAGCAAAGGACGACATGGAGGGGCGAGTTCTCCGGCTTTTGTTAGGCAGTCCTGAAGCAATGTCTCCATTCCCCTCGGGGATTTCTTCCTTCTTCCGGACTTTGAGACGCGTGAGGAGCTTTATTACCCAGACGTCCCATTCCTCTGGCAAGAGCAACAGGAGGAAGCCCAGGCCAATAATGATGATGGCGATTACTCGGACACTGTTGAAGACAATTTCACTCGTGTAGTGATCAACAACTGTGTGGGACATTGAACGGGTGTTATTACATGGGACAAAGCATTAGGGCAGCATCCCCTTCCCTCCCCCTTGCCTCTCCGGCTCTGAAGGCTGGCTGTGGCAGGAGAACATGGCCCTGGAGGCGATGGTGGCAGGGGGACTACCCTTCCTGCCGGTTTAGCACACAGTGGGGTACGGCCCCCTTCAGAGCAGGCAGAGCTGGCCTGTGGGCTCAGGGTGCAAAAGGGCACGATGCCTGGAGCTGCAGTTGTTCTCTGCAGCACCATCTCCTCCCTTGCTCGCCGACAGCACACGAACTCCTGCTGAGGTCCAGGCACGCAGAGAAAGGGGCATCTCCCTTCCCTGGCACAGCAGCTCCTTCGTGCAAGTTTTTCTTCTCGCCCTGACTGAGTAAGAAACCCTGCGCACGCGGAGCCGTGCACAGGCCCTGGTGGGGATCACACTGTCCGGTGCCAAAGTCTGCCCGGGCAGCCTGGCTCTGCGTGCGGGTAGTCAGCACAGAGCTGGGAGCTTCCGCCTGCGCCGTGGCGCTGGTTCAGCACGCTGGGTTTTCGGAGCTTGGTTTGGGAGAGGTGGCTCTGGTTTGGGCCAGGGCTGCCTCTGCACTCCCCTGCCCAGACCTCTGAGGCTCTGCAGTCTCTTGGCTTTCACTACATTTCAGAAAACTGCCAGAGAAATGGACCAGGCTGTGCCCAAAATTGGAATGTCCAGTGCTCTGATAATTACCTGCCGTGTTGTTTACCAAGGCAAGCAGAATTACCAGTACTTATTTGCTCTAAAATGTAAGCAATTTTATTTGTTTCAATCTAGTGTCAAGCCTGCCTTGAAGAAATCATTAAGAACTGGTTTCTGCTTCACCCATGAGTTTTGTTCCCAGCCCAGGGACTGATAACTGCAAATCTACTTTGTTTTTCAGTACGCAGGCTTCTTTAGACAGTAATTTAAAAACAATTCTAGAGATTATGAATATTCATGTAATATTATACAATACATACTTAACACATAAAGTACATCTTTTTAATCAGTGTCATCTCCGTAAGTCTTTGAGAGAAGATGCAAAACATGTTTAATAAAGCTGTTTGCTTTTATCCCTGTTGTGTATTTGAAAGGCCACAGATTTACTGTATTCATTAAGACACAAAAGGCAGAAATTCTTACCCGCATTCACTGGGACACTCAGTACAATTCCAAGAGAAATCAAGGTGGGGTAGGTAATAGCAATCCCAAAATTTAGTAGAATATTGAATGCTGAAGAAGGAAAGAAAAACACCTTTTACTACAGTAACGGAGGTGCCAGAAGCTGGCCTTGACTGGCCTGGCCTAACCTTTTACTACAGTGAAACTAGGCAGAGGGAATGTCACTTGAAACATTATTCTTTATTACTCCCTCTGTATGTTGCTCAAGTAGAAGGCATATTCACTTCTGTTGTTATTCCTGGAAGATACCTGTGGACAGACATCTGTCCATGGCATGTCCGTCTGCTGAGACATCGCTGTTTCTGGGGAACTCTATATCCCACTGGGGCCCACTGGCAGGATCAGGGCGAGCTTTGAGTACAACCAGTCTCCCAGTGTAGTGTGCAGTGATTGCCACTCTCTACATCAAGCCACTTTGCCCTGCTGAAAGACTAAATGCTTTCCATCTGGGAGATTTCAGCCAAACATTTGCTTCCGCCTGGATGCTTTTTTGGTAGAAAAGCTGCCTCCAGCTGCAGGTGGAAGATGCTGTAACTCTAACCCTCTTCCAGACAGGAATTTGCTAAATATAATTTCATTCAATGAAATTATAATATCATTATAATACCATTATGACTGAATGATTATAATATCACTCCATTGTAATACCATATACTGTTCATGGAGTGTCCCATGACAAATTGTAATTGCTTTGGACCAAATTCACCCTTGTTTTAAGGTGATTAGCAAAGTCAGGAGAGCCTTACCAATACCGAACTTGTCAGGAGCTGGGGCTCTGGCTGTGTGCTGGTAGTATGTATGCATTGCACACCCCAGCAGTTGCTTGCCAAGCTCTGCACTACTTGCTTACAGATACCTTCCACTGAGTCCACTGATAAGCAAACTGGAGGCATTTCCAAAGTCAAGTGTTCTGACTGCTCAGGGTAAGAGGAGCTGGGACTCAAGACAGGGATGGAGAAGGGCTATTTCCAGTAGAAATGAAAGGAACATTTTAGGAGATGTGATGCTGTTATCCAGTTTGGGGAGCAACTGTGGCAGCACAGTCAACACATCCGTAACAAGGAACAGCATCACATTTCTGATGACCATGAATCATTAAAGCTTAGATTTGGCATCCCTCTCAAGCTGGGTTCCCTTGGTGGCACAGCAGTGGCAGCAGAAGAGGGGAGTGCCACCTACCAAATTCCCATCAGTGCTATGCAATGCTACATTTTCAAAAGTTTCCTGCTCTTTAGGAATAGCAAGTAGCTATTAGTGAAGTCGGAGGTGCCAGAAGCTGGCCTTCACTGGCCTGGCCTAACCTGCTTTCTCGGGGGGTGCTGATGAGCCCAAGGTAATGCCCTGCTGGCAGGGCTGCTTCCCATCACAGCCTGGGCAAGTGTCGCTTGTCTCTGTGAAGCAGAGTTCACAAGTAGGAGTTAGGACAAGCTTTACAGTTTAGTCCCACAGCACCTTCTAACAACAGCCACAATATTTTGGCTTGGTCATAACAGCAGAAGCGGGGTCTACATTGCCACCTAGGAGTGGGCCCTCTGCATGATTTCTCAAGCTAATAATTAGGTTAAGAAGGAGGCAAAACAGCTCCAGTATGTCAGAGGTCTGCAGCTTCCACCAGCGGCCAGTTTCTGGCACCCTCCTCCACCCCGAGCTGTGCGAGAGTCCCCCCTCTACTCACTCAATAAGAGAATTGAAAATCCGCAGAGGTTTCCCCAAGGAACGATGTCAAAAGAGCTCCAGTACTCCACTTTGGTAAAATACAGGATGACAGGAATACAGGTAACGAAGAGGACATTGAAGACAGCTAACACAGACAGGAATAAGGCAGCTTCTCCAAATTTAGCACTGCCCAAAAGAAGTTTGAATAAAACCTACAAGAGGAAAACACATGGGTTTAAGTCTCTTGCACCACTCCTCTGGAGGGCTGTGTCCTGGCTTCAGTGGCTCCTGGCATCCTGGCCTGTGGGCCAGTGCTTAGGGCCGAGGGGCTGGGTGCTGAGCAGCGTCAGTCAGCACCTGTGCAGTGATGCTTGCCGGACACTTGAGATGGCTGCTCATGAAGCTGCAGAGAGCAGCTCGTGTGCCCCAGCCTTCTCCCTCCTGGCACCCCCCCTGGAACGCAGGCAGGGGCAGCTGCCAAATGAGCCCATGCAGGAAGGGGACTCAGCACCTTTGGCCGTGTACCTCACAAAAGGGAAGGTCGCTCACCCTAGCCTAGATCCTTTGGTCTTTTTTCTGCATGCTCCCTTCAGGAAAACCTCTGGAAAATTCGACATTAAAACCAGAAGACTTGGTGGAGCATGGCATGACGGGGAGAGGAAGCAACATGTGTGATCTCCCTGTATGAGGCATCGCTGGTCCAGGCTTGAGCTGCCACCTGAGGAGCACTGCGGTGGTGAGCAAGCACAGTCTGTGCTGCCTACCTGTCCTCCCCACTTGTCCTGCTGTGCACCATGGCCTGCCTGTGAGCACCACTGTCCTTGCTGATGGACTCTGCCTTACTGGTTTGTGCTGGGATGGCAGGCCCCTTCACCAGTGTCAGTTGTCTCTTCCCTTTGCCTACCCAGCGCCCCATAGGCAAGTCTGCAGGGCTGCCATGCTTGTGGGGCTGCCATGCTTGTGGGACTGCTGCCCACTCCCTCCACCTTGCAGCCACCACTGGCCAGTGCAGATGCATTGCTGCTCTGCATAATGGAGCAAAAATGTCCCAGAAGTCACTTACTCCTCATTTGCCACCTGAGGATGGTGTGTTGCCCCTGGCAGGGCGGGCAGCCAGCACAGGCAGAGTGAAGTGTCCATGTCCGGGGTAGGAGGGCAGGTCGAGGTGGCTCTGCTGCACGTGGCGCAGCTTGTCTGCCTGCAGATCTGCCTGCGCCTTCGGCATGCGCAACTCATGGAAACCGAGCCAGACTGCAGAAAGCAAAAGCAGAGTGGCGGCAGCAGCTGCAGAGTGCCATTCGTTGCAGAACAAGCTGCACAGCTCCATCTGTCCTCGCATGCGGGGTGCACTGCAGAGTAACACCCTGCTGGCACTGCCACCGTCACCTCCCTGTGCACAGGCTCTGGTGGAGCAGCTCTGAGACCTGTCCCTGCAAGGAGCAGGGCTGCCATGGGAGAGGGGGCAGAGCTAGGCTCTAGCCTTCAATAACCCTGCCTGCCTGCAGATGACTCCAGAGCCATGCTGTTTCCTCGGGTCTGGAGGGCCATATCTCTGGTCTCACAAGGAAATGCTCTTTTAGAAGAAAGAGCTGTATGAAATTGCATGACCTCCCTTATGTAAGACATAGGCTGATCTAAAAAGCGAGTAGAAAGCATTGCAGCACAGCGCTGAGGGTCACAGACAGATGCTTCTCAGTTTGGCGAGTCTCCCTGGATTGCTTGTGTTAAGGCTGCAGGGCTTGCCTGGCCACCTTCTGTTGGAGGACTGGTACAATTCGTTAGACCAGATGGACACATCTACACCTCATCCTAGTTTACACATCTGAGCCAGGGTGGGTGAACTGCACCCTACAAGTGCTTATTTCTCTCAGTGGACTGTGACTCTGAGCACCATGAGCAGCACAGAGGCAAATGCACGTATGTGTCTCAGGCTAAGCGAAATGGCTCTCTGCCCAGCAGAGAAGGCTGCATGTCATCTTATGCACAGTGTAGCTTGCCCAGCTGGTCAGGATGAGACTTTGATTCTTTGATTCATAGGCATGTGCTTTAGATTTTAAGCATGTGATTATTTCCGTGATAAGCAATACTTTAAGCCCAACATAGGCTACGTATGCCACTGAAGGAGGAGAGGCAAGGGGCGGTAACAAAGTGACTTGAAATAGAAGCTGTATCTCTGCAGGCTGCTTCCAGAGTAAGTGATTAAATCCAGCATCTATGGAAAAGCAGCCTCATTTTTCAAGATGGGACATATTTAAGTCCTGTGGGCACTGGAGAAAACCCTTCTCAGGAAACAGGAGTTTTTATCCTAAGTGAGGGCAGATTGCAAAGCAAGTGAATACTGGAATGCAGTGTTGCAGGGTCAGCGGGTGTATGGCAAAGCCCCTTAAAGAAGGGCACATGGCACTGAACTGCATGGAGGTTTGCAAGTAAGAGAGGAGCAGTTAAAGAGAGTGACAGGGGTGATTAGTGTCTTTCTAGGGGCGAAGACCCAGGTGTGCTTACCTTGTAGAGAGCAGACATTGAGGCAGAGCCCACCACCAGGGCTATCCCAATAACGGAGTGGCTGTGAAACCCATCAGCGTACGTCATCATAACTATCCCTGCAATAGCAAATATAGCAGCCACGATCTGGTTGGAGACAAAGAAAGAAAGGAAGAAAGTGTTACTGGACAACCCCTAACATGGGAAAACAGGTGAGCAGCTTTAAATGAGAGGGCAGTACTTCTGCATCATCTGCTTATGTAGAAAACTAGTAGTGAGCCCAAGTCAATACCCATGGAGCCGATGCTGCCTCCCCTCCTGTGTTCCCTGGCTGTAGAGAAGCTGCAGGCAGAGCTGTGTGGGAGCAGCTGCCTTGGTGCGATGTGCAGCAGGCCAGATCGCAGGGCCCAGCTTCTCAGACTGAGCTGAAGGGCAGATTTCATCTCTGTCACTGAGCCTCCCCATCCGTGGGTCCCTGCAGCCTGTGCGTGACAATAATACACAAGCAATAATTCCCTGGTGCTTGCAGGAAAGGCTTTGAGTCCTGTGGAGGTTTTGGAGGAAAAAGGGTTTTGAAATAAACAGAGGAATAAAACTCATGCAACTATTTTCCAGTTCAGCTGTGTCATTTCACATGTAAAGGGAGGTTTAGTCAGCCAGCCCGGCCTACGGCACTGCTCGAGGGGGGATGTCTGAAGGGAGGTAGCATTCACAAAGCTAGGGGACAGGCTGCCCCTGATTCAGCAGGGTAGGCAAGGTACCCCTGGCTTCTCTGGGACTGTCCTGCCAGATGCCTCAAGCTTCCCCAGGTGGTAATTCTGGGGTGAACAGGGCTTTCTGCATGTTCCATGCTTCCTGGCTCTGCAGTGGTGCAAGTGATGCCCTGCTTAGACCACATGCCCTTTGGCTGCACAGTCATGGTGATGCTTCTAAGGTGCTTGGGATAAATGAGTTTATTTTGACCCATAGCTGGGTTAGTGCCAACCAACTGTCCCCTCTCCTGGGGCCAGACCAGGGTTTTAAGCCCCATCCACAGGCTGCAGCTGCCTACACATCCAATAGCAATGGCCACCTCTCACATTCCTCATTCACCACCAGAGATGCTGGGGCTGCTGTGAAGATGCAGGGTGAAAGCCTGTGTGCCAAGCTCTGCTGCTGCCTGATAAGCAAGCTGCAGCTGGAGGACTCCTTTACCAGCTGCAGGTCCCCATCTGGCAGCACCAGCAGCCTCTTCACTGGGTTGAGCCCAGCTGGTGCTTACAGAGCTGCCAGAGACGATCACCCAGCAGATCCCACCCGCACGCTGACATCAACACCTCCAATTTCCCCTAACAGAAATTGCCTCATTTTTGCAAATAGAAGGGGATCAGTTTCTCCAAAGGGGTTGCTGCAGAGTGTAAGGGTGGCGTAAGGGTAGAATGAAGCCCCAGTCATCAGAAGCTGACACTGCTTGGAAAATACAGCTGCTAATAACATCTCAACAAGATGGGGCTTGAGTCTAGAAATTGCTGTACTGCTGTTCAAGATGCTGTGTGAGCACAGCTTCGGCAGACTGTGGAGGAGCAGGGTTTCCCCCAGCTGCTCAGCCCCTTGCACAGCCCAGCCGAGGGGCAGCAGGTTCTGAAGATGCTAATTTATGACCCGATCAGAGTGGAGTCTGGTGCAAGCTGCAAAGGCTGGGTGTGTGTCCTGCAAACTTGCAGAGGTTCAGATACAGCATCTTGGCTTGTGGCTCTATTGGCATCAGATCTCTCCATGCACAGCTGTGGGGTATCATTTCTAAAGCGAATCTCGATGGTGGTGTAACGGGGCCCTACAGTCCTGGACAGGCTTCTTTGTAAGGCAAGGAGAAAAAAAAACCTGATCCATGGCTCTACAGCAACGTGGGGCTGTTTCAGGTAGGCGGGACTGAAGGAGCTCAGCAGCCCTCAGTCATTCTTTCATGTCAGCGTGCTGGTGCTTGTCAAATAAAAATTCTGGCACTCTGTGTGGCTTCAGAAGCACAAGAGAAAAGGTCCTTGAAGAGACTAGCATGGGGCAGGTGCAGAACAATGAAAAAGAGCTTTGTCTTCACCCAATATAAAATTCAGTCAAGGAAAGCTTTGTTGTTGCACACTGTGGATGTGAAAAGTTCACAAGTATAAACTCATGCAAGAAAAAAAAATCCGTGAAGGACTATTAACTATAGGAACATAGCTTCCATCTCAGGAAGTCCTTGAGCTTCAAATTGCTGGAGGCTGGAAAGTCTCATAACGAAATATCATTATAGGCTTTTCCTGTTTAGACAGATTTTTCTAGGTGTCCACTACAGGCAGCTGCTGGAGCCAGGCTCCTGACTCAGTATGGCTTTTTGTAGAGCTGCAAGCTATATGGCTTGGGCTTATCTGAAAGAGGGCAACTCCAGCCCTTCAGCATCACCTGTGCTGCAGACCAGGTGACAAAGAGTGGAAGATGCGTTGTTTCCTGTAGCTGCTGCTCCATCGTGTCCTGTAGCATCTGCTCCAGGTGCGGCTGTCTCCCATCTGAGATGTGCGGGGCTTGTCCAGCCTTCACTGGAGAGCCAGGTAGAGACCACAGCCACACGCCAGGCTGCGGCAAACAGCGAGTACCTCCATGTGTACCAGCAAAGGGAGCCTGTCTGAGACCCTGCTGGCAGCTGCACCTGCACTACGGTGGAAACTTGGAAGGTGCATTAAAGAACTGCAGAATAAAAAGCATCCAGTTTTGCTTTCAATGTTTGGAGCTGGCTGACTTCAGAGCACCTCCCGGGAGGCTGGGCCTCTGCCTGGCAGGAAAGGAAGGCTATGATTTGGGAACTGATAGTATATTTATTTCTAAGTCCCACTGGCAGGTGCGCTTGTCTATACATTACGTACACAGGAGGTATTTGCAAGCGATGATCTCTCTTGGATCCTGAGCTGTTTTATTTACTGTAGCATGGAGAAAAACACCAAAGGCCAAGATCAAAGCAAATAAATGCAGTCTGCAAACTGTTTTGCTGGGCCAGAAATCCTTGCCTCCTCTATCAATCATGTCAAGAGTGTCAGATGAGCCTTGGCCTTACCTGTTGACATGCCAAGCATGTCACATATGCTTTCTCTGGAAGCCTTTCAGCCTGCCTGTCAAGCACGTCGTTAGCAGCAGTGACAGGCTGCTTGCACTGCACCACTTCATGGCTGCTGGCCTGCAGTCGCTTGCAAATGCCTCAGCACCGAAGGGCTTGCAGAGACAACACTTCAGGCACTCACCGCTTCATTACCTGTGCGTCTTCTCTGAAAGCAGTACGACAGCTCGCAGCTCAGCTGGACACACTGCTCTGGGCACAGTGAAGGGAAAAGGGGAGAAGTGCAACTTCATTACAGGAGATGCAGGCACTTACAAGTGCCTGAGTGGTGAGGATGGGGTTTTGTAGCTTGCTCTTACATTTAAATTCCAGCTGAATTGTGATTTAAGTGCTTGTAGAGCCAGTAGTTGCTCTTCTGAAGGCCAAGTAAGATGCTTGTATGTGCTTAAACCCCACTGAGCTGATCCCTTTCTCACCTGGCCTCTTCTCCAGTGGGTGTGAACAGGGACACCCCAATGTGCAATCAGAGCTTTGCTGCAGCACTATCCACCCTGATGCACTGCCGCGGGGATGGAGAGGGAGCGTGGGAGGGCTCCTGCTTGCCACAGGTCAAGGCACTGTCCCCATTTCAGCCTCATCTGCCAAATAACCCTCTCAAACGGTGCTTCTAAAAGGGTCAGCAGCTCTGACATGGTGTGGCCCCGAAGGACCACGAGCTTTGGGGCTGTGCTGTGTGCTGGCTCGCAGTCCCTAGGTTGCTCCCGGAGAAACCCCAGCAGCTGTACCTCCTCCTGGTTGCCAGTCCCAGGAAGAGGGCTTTGTTTTGGGGTCCACCCTGAGACCATCCCCAGCATGCCAGGCAGCACCACTCTCACTGCCGATTGCTTTTCACATGGGCTATACAGAAAAGGGATGAAAGAGGGAAGAAAAGGCGGCTCACCAAGAGACTTCACACTATGTCCCTCCACAGACGAGAGTGTCTGCAGCACTCCCACAGTGCCACACAAAGCTGGGAAGCAGGACTGCTGTGCTTTCCTCCCCTTGCCCTGCCAGTCCCTAGGGACAAGTGCCTCCTCACTCACTTTTTGCTACATGTCAGGACGCCACGTCTGCCCAAGAGCAAAGAGCTCAGTCCTCCTGCAAGCCCCTTCCCCCTGTGCTCAGGCCCCTTGCTGGCTTGTCATCAGGGTGGGAGATGGCCATGTTCCTCCTTGGGCATGGAGGTGGCTTGTCAGAAAGCCCTCCAACATCAACCTGCTACCCCTTGTCAGTGCCAGATGCCACTGTGAGGGGCTGGGATGTGTGGCACGAGCATCCCATGGCCCCCACCGCCCTGGCTTCTGTTCTGCCTGTCTGATTTATTGTTGCTGGGTTTTGGGCGAGTCAGCCTTTCCCAAGGCAGTGCCGGTAAGAAACAAAGGACAGATGGACATGGCCAAGACCACCACTTGGGTCTGCTTCCCTGTTCCCTCCACCCCTTCTGCCCCTTTGGGAAGGAGGGGATCCAGAGCAGAATTAGTCCCCCAGTGCCCGTCACCTGCCATGGAACAAGACCCAGTCTGGCCAGGAAGCTGCTGGAGAGCCCTGGGCCACCCCAGCTCTTCACATGTGGCCATGCACAAGAAGCATCTCCACTCTGGTGTGTGCGTGTCCATGTGTGTATCCCTACACACAGGCTGGCTTTTTTCAGCCACACCCAGTGGTGAGAGATGGACATGCAGACCAAGGAGCAAGCTGCACGGGCAGGAGAGCAGCGGTCAGCTCTCTGCACACCTCCTGTCCTGGCATCCCACCAGCACTACAGCTGTCAGCGCCACAAGACAGCTGAACACCACAAAATATTTTTTTTTTTTTTTTTTTTTTACTTTAATAAAAACAGCCAGCATATCCAGCCAGGAGGACAGCAACACTTCCCTATTTCCAGGATCATTTCAGGATAGCCTTGCTTTTGAACTCAGAAAATCCAGTTAATTTGTTTTCAGGGTACAGCTACCTGGGCAGGGGGGTGGGCAAGCGCAGACACCAGCTGGGCAGGCTGGGCTTGGCAGGTACATTTTGCAACGATTCCCAGAGCAGCAGCCTCTTGGCTGCCACCACCACAAGGCTGGCCAAGCTCTCCTGCCAGAGAGCACTTCCCGAAAAGTTAACTCTCAATTGATCCACGCAGTGAGGGCTGACAACCTCTTCTGAGCACCAAAAGCATTGCCCAGCTGGGTGAGAAGAGCGCTTCTCAAACGGTGTGCAGAAAATAGGTATCGTTGCCATTATTGCTGTCAATACTAGTAAGTGCCTGCTGGTGCAGTGAGGCAGGAGGGACACACTGGTGCCTTTTCCTTGCAGTTACAGGGTCCCAGGGTGGATGCCAGGCACCCTCTGACCGGTTCAGCTGCCAGAGGCCACTGCATGTTGAGGGCAGCCAAAATGGCATCAGGGTCAGCAGAGAGCCACGGGGGTTTTCAATAAAATCCCCCCCATGCAGCTCTGTTGCTGCTGTGGCACAGGTGTTCATGCAGGGTGTAGGACTAAGGGTGCAAGCAAACAGCTGGGGTGCTGCTCGGAGAGCAGCTCAGGGCGAGTGGGCCTGCTGCCCCACTGCCTGCCATGCTGCCTGGCCCCATGCCCACAGCTGCTGGCCAGATGCAAATCTCTGTGTGCTGGTGTTACACCGATCCTCAGCCAGTGACGCAAGCACACCCTTCGGCCGTGGGCGAGCAGGGGCAGCCTCTCCTCTCCTCTCTCTCCTCTCCTGCTGCTGCCTGACATGGGTGCAAAGGATAACCATGCTGCCCTGCAAGCCTGCTGTCACACGTAAGAAAGGCAAGGGCCCCATACATTCACAGGCTGGGACCAGGTATGCACTGTGTGCAGCCCTGGCTTGCAGTAATGTGCAGTTAGAAACAACTAGGTCTGGTGCCACAGCCTGGGGACAGTCACTTGGAAGGGGCCGGCAAAGGCTGATGCATGTCCACAGCAACATGGAGACAGCAGCTATCCTTTGTGCCATGCTCTGGAAGAAGTTACCTCTTTTCTGAAGGAAAATGTGCAAAGGCATCAGGCTGGGGGAGAGCAGGGCTCCAGGAGCTCACAGGCACCTGGGCAGGCTGCAGGGAAGGATGTGTACCCCCTGTGTAGAGGATTTCTACGCCCGCTTGGCCGTCTGCATGGAGTGCTGATCGACTTGGCCAGTGGGAGGGAAGGGGAAAAAGAAAGGTAGAAGGGTGAGGGGGAAGAAGAGAGACAGAGATAAGGAGTCACTTACCCTCACTCCCATGAACCTGTCCCTCAGAACGATCCATGAAAGCAAGAACACAAAAGCTTTGTTGCAGCAGAACAACACGGAGACATCCGTAGTGTTTATTTTCTTTATTGCATGTAAGTAAAGGTAGTTTGTGAGTGTCCAAAGAACACCAAAGGGTGCTGCCTTGGTAAAAAACACCTTCAAAGTCAAGCCATTGTCTCCAAAAAACCGGCAGCACTCCCTAAAACAAGGAGAGAAAGGCAGTGTTATTACACAAGCCAGTCACAGTCTGCAGCAAATATACGGGTTTCTTTTTCTTGCTCCTCTTCTTTTCCTTTGGGGAAAGCGTGGCACACACCTTAAAGAGGTGATGAAAAACAAGTTTCAGCATCTGCTGCAACAGCCAGCACCTCCTCAGGGTACAAACACATGGGGTCTGCAAACACAGGAGGGAGAGCAATGAAAGAGTGAGGGGAGAGGTGAAGCCAGGAGGTGAAATCTCACTCTTGCCATGAGTGCCTTCACAGTGGACATCTCCTTTCACCCCTGCACGCACCGGGGTGCACTGGGGTTGGGGCTGGCAGCAAAGCCCCTTGCTGCCCGCTCCTGCTGCAGCCACAGGACCCTAGCGCCCATCCATGATCCGCTATGCAGGGCTTGGAAGGACCCTCACAGGAGTCTTTGGTTTGGGGTTTTTCCACCAAAGGGGTGGGACCTGCCTCAAGCCTCCCAGCAGCAGCAGGGGCAGGAGCAGGAGGAGGTGGCTGCCAGCTGCCCGCTCCTGCTGGGGTGAGGACATGGACCGGGACATGGCATGGTGGCACCCGGGGACATGCTGGGTCAGTTGGGGCAGCGATGCAGTCAGGAGCTCGCATGTGTAGTGAGGGCCGGGGATGCTGTGAATCCCCAAGTGAGAGGCACCCAGAGGAGGTATGGCCCCGTTGCAGGAAAAGGAAACACGAGTGGTTTATTTGTGTCCCTGAGGCGCTGGTAGGTGAAAGGTGACAGGAGGTGAGGGGTGCAGCCTGGCCTTGCTGGCAGGGCTCTGGGGAGGCAGCAGGTGGGGACCAGGATGGGGCTGCAGGGGTCGCCTCTGGGGAGGCGCTGTGAGGAGAAGCCTGAGTGCAACCCGCTTCTGCTGGGCAGCAGAGCTGGGAGCTGGTGGCTGTGCTGCCTCCACGGAAATTTAATATGGCAAAGAAGAACCGCAGCGCAGGGTCAGTCTGCAGGCTGCTGAAGTGTGCAGGTGGCACTCAGCAGTGGACCCGTCCGTGGCCTGTGCTGGCTTTGCTTGCTTTCAAACCTGCAAAATCCCAGAGACCCTGAAGTACTTTAAGGAGGTGTTTTGACAACATTTCAGCAAAATTAAATCTTCCTTTGACAATGAAGGCCAAATAGGTTTTCACTGCTGTCTTGAATTTCAGGCTGCTTGTTTCCTAAGACTGGGCATGTAAGGAGTCTGATGGAAGTGCGATTTTGATCCCCTTTCTCAGAAGATGAGGTTGTATCAGCTGATTACCTAAAGAAACCCATCCATGCTCTGAGCCTCTTCATATTTCCCCCATCACTAACTGTACACCTACACCCCCCTCTGCTGCAGCAGGCACAAGGCTGCAGGGTAGAGGAAATGCATTTTTTTTGAGTTTGCTGGGTTATGTCACCTACCAGTCTCTCATACCAAGTCACGGCTGTGCAGAACTTGCCTATCTCTGGATGTGATGACCCTGGGCTTTGGTTGCTGTAATGCAGACACTTAGATCTGAACTGCTGATTCTGCATTGGGTCACTCAGTGTCACAGGCAGCACATCAGTGTTCCTTGTCCTCTGTAAAATTACCTGCTGGCAGCAGCCTATTCCCTGCCAAACCTGTTAACTGCCTCTCTGTGCCAGTAAAAGAGCTGCCCCTCTGCACCACAAACCACAGCCTGAGTTCCCACCTGCCGTCCTGTTCCAGGACACGCACAGCACCGACAGATGCTGCCTGTGCTCAGCATGTGGCCTGGATCCATCCTCCCCTTCCACAAACACTACACCCACATCGAGTCTGGCCTTCAGCCCCACGAAGCACTGTCTGTTCCAGCCACTTGCCACAGGGGACGCAAGGAGCGCACGGAGATGCAGAGAGTCATTGAAAAACCCTGTTCCAAACTTCACTACAGGCTTGAACCTGCTTCACAAGACACCATGGAGTGTTTGACTGCTAGAGTGTCACAGGCAGCCAGTCTAATGCTCTGAAGACAAAAAATGCAGGCACAGTTTAAACTAAACTACAAGATGTCATTTAGTAAGTAAGATTAGTATGAGAGGGACAGGAAGGCCAGAGTCAAATCAAAGGACTAAGATGGAATTTATGTTGGGATCTATATTAGCGAAAAAAAGTTCCTTCTGCCAAAAATCTGTTCCCCATATACAGAGTTAGGTATCTATTTGATATATAGTAGAAAAGTGTTTTTACTGTACTGTGGGCCTGATTCTTCTTTAGCAGATATCACTGGATCCATATGGCAGTACAGCCTGGCACTCGCCTCCATCCCTGAAGCACCCAGTGTTGCGCCGTGGTGCCCCAAAGGACAGCCTTGCCCTGGCACGGATCAGGACCTTGAGTTGTGTTTCCCCCTTTGGGAGTCTCATTGACCTACACAATAAAGCTTCCTTTTAGCTGTTTTCACCAAGTGTGAATTGCTTCTTGTAGGCTGGCTCCTACTTCCAAAGAAGACCAATTATGGCAGAGGCTTCCCCATCGAGCACAGGGTTGTTTCTCCCTGAGGACACCCAGAGCTGTGGAGGGTGCTACCAGACATGCACCCACAAGCACAGCGAGCCCTGTTGTCCAAAACAAGTGCACTGCTGACACGTGGGCTCTTTGTGGGGGTAGCAGATGGGTTAGATGGCTTTCTTGGATCTGGCATCTCCAGTGGAGTCTGAGGAGCATTAGGGGAAATGTGGTATGTTATGTGCGCCAGGATGCCTATATACCGTACAATAACCCACACACAATTAATTGTCAGCCCAGGTTTGCTACTGCTTATCAGGGAAGCTGATTTTTCCTTGGTGCCATAACACAGTTTGTGAAGCCCCAGGAAGCATGTGATGAAGAGAGTTGTCAGCGAATAATGGTAGATATATAGTTATGGGAAGCAAGACAGGACTGTGATATAACCTACACTGTAATCCCAAAACAGTCGGGGGACGAAATCACTCTGGAAATACAACTGCAGCTTTAAATATTTTGACAGAACATTTTGGACATAGTTGCTTCTGCTGTCCAGTAATTCAGTTTTGCCCACAAGGGCACATTGTACCCAACGAGTATCCTGATGTTTTATAGATACTCCTTGGCAAAAACAGAGCTTGTGTCCTGTGGTGCTTCAGGCATGCCTGACTGTGCCAGGAGAGCCTGCCTATGAATATTTTAACAATATCTCATCCACTAACAAAAATTCTACTTTTTAAGACAGACAAAACCCACCCTATCCGGAGGGCAGTCTGTAAGCATTCAGCATCCTTTGGAGCCCAACTCAGCACTGTGGACCCTTGTATGAGCCCTGACCCCACGTCTCTCAAAGCCACGGGACAGGTGGGGAGCTGTGGTTGGTTCCTTGAGGTTTTACTGGACAGACTCTCGCAGGTCTACCTGCCAAGGGCAGGAAACAGAGGCAGTCTTCTACTCACAACAGAGCAAGCTGGTTGCCTCCAGGCTGGTGGGGAGAGAGCATTCAGTCCTAGGACAAGTCTGCAGTGGTGGTGGAAGAGCTGGTGGGGAAGCGCTCTGATGCATCAGGGAGACCACCAGCCTCCTCTGGCTTTGACTGCCAGGGCCAGCAGCCAAGCTATATAATTTCCAGGATAAAATACACTTTCTGCTTCAGTTTATCCAGTCTTTGGTGAGCCAGTCCTGCTGCACAGCTAGCTCTAGCTCACCTGGAGCGAAGAGGGAGGGTAACCAGATGCCTGGAGGCTGCAGACATTGTTGGGTTCATCTCTGGGACTAAATCCCTGCTGTTTGCTAGTCTGGGCAGAGATGCCAGAGGCGGGATTTGCAAAGAAAGCGAGCAGGGATCCTGTAAACAGGTGCTCTCCTGTGCTCCTGGTACTTGCCCTCGCCCTGTGTGCTGGGCAGCCCAGTGCTGCCGCACATGGCAGGGGTGGGCAGCCTGCAGGCAGCCAGCTGTGAGGAGGGGCTGTGCCCGAGGGTAGCAGTGTTTTTTAGCTCTACGCAGTGTTTGCAAGTAGCTGCAGTGTTTGCAAGTAGCTGGTATGGGCGTACGTCATTTGCTTAGTGCAGCATCACTACAAATGCCTGTAACTGCTGATGGCGAGCCCTGTGCCCACGCACTGTGTCACTGGAGTGGGTTTTCCAACAAGTGGAGCTGAGCAGGGCCATTGTGGTGTGCACACCACCAGCCCCTGTCAGTCACAGACCTCCACAGGCTCCCTCTCACCACTCACAGAGTATGCACTGTTGCTCATCATCCCTTAGACTCATTGGGCAGCTTTCAAAGATCTCCTGGGCCATACACCTATTGAGTGAGAGCCCCTGGCCTATCTTAAATAAATGCACAGTTAAGAGCAAGCAACCTTATTTACTTACAGAGCGTATACTTTCCATGTATCTCCAAGACATCCAGCTGGAGGAGGCCCTGAAGATGCTCCGGTAGCGTGTGCATGTGGCTCTAATAATCTGGTAGAGCGCTGAGTCCAGCACAGAAAGTGGTAGTGGGGAGCTTCTGCCTACTGACTGTTAGGTACGTACAAGCAAATTTTATGTCTGAGCCAGGACCCTGAGGTCTGTTCAGAGACACCAGAGAAGCACATCCCTGAGCTGCCTTTTCTGCCTGCCTTGGGAGGCACTGAGCCCAGGAAGAAGCTACTTCTATTGCTCTTTTTCAGTTCTAAAAGGGACGCCAGGGTGAGGAGCACAGACACGGGCACCTCCAGCACACATCTGGAAGGAGAAATCCCACCCGCTGTGTTAAAAGAGAAATTGTCATCAAAGACTGACCAAACCTACTCCTGCTCACATTACCAGAAATCCTACACCTACTACCTCAGTACGAAAGCTGCCTTACTGCTCGCTTCCTGGCACAGTTTTGTTTGCTGGGCTGACCCTGCTTTGCCCATGAAGGAGTGGGACTTTAGATATGGACAATGACCAGAGAGGCCATGGAGGAATGCTGATATGCAAAGCTCAGGTGTGCCCTGGCCCTGTGCATCCCTGGGTCATGCTGAGCATGGCTCCTCCTGGGCAGGGAAGCCACTTTGCAGAGCCACTCTGATGAGGTGCTCTCTCCTCAGCTCTGTGTAATTCTCCACGGAGGAGTAAATTCTGGGCTGTTTCCAGATAAGGCACCAGCAGACAGCAAGAAGCTTTGGCATTGCAAGGGTTAATGCTGTATTTTTGAGATAATCTGGCTTCCTGCATTATTTTCCATGATTCTGCCATCATAAGCTAGAGCTCCATTGTAATCACAGCAATTGGTTAAAAAAAAAAATAAAAAGCATTAGCCAAGGCAACAGCAAAGGCCTGTACAAGACTGAAATGGAAATGTCAAAAGAAGGATGCTGGAAGGGAAACGTACTGGCTTAATCGCTGCAGCAGCAATAAAGAAAAGCTTGCTGCCACTCAGGAGTGTCATATCCATGTTCACAGACAACCTGAAGGCTCATGACTGAAATAAAAGGCAGGAATACACTGCTGGGAGGAAGTCTACATGCGAACTGAGAGAACTGCAGCCTGGTTACACATGGCCCTTGGGAAGTGTTTCCAGAGATATGTTACACAGTGGATGTGCTCACTGC